CTCGGTACACTCGGTATGCTCGGTATTTTTACCGGACGAAATAAAAATTCGGGGATAACTGAGTCGAATTATTTTGTGATTCATGGGTCTAATTGGATGAACAAATGGGTCGATTTGAGTTAATTCGGCTTTACTAAAAAAATTATTAATAAATTAGCTTGTTTAATAAATAATAACGCAAAATCATTTAAATTATATATAATTTATCAAATTATATATAAAATTATTGATAATATTTAAAATGTATATTTCTTGATGCGAAACATCCTAGTTATATCACACCTTGTTTTCCAGAAAAAGATAAATTTTATTTATATCGAAAAAAGAGTACAAAAAGCAAGAAACGAATCGATAAAAAAACTACAGAAGATACAAAGGGTTATAACCCAGCAAGCTCAATAATTGGCAGAGGCTACAAATTACTCTGAAGTCAGACACGAACCATCCATTAAAAATCAGAGAGCAGTAACACACCAAGTATCCAACCCAACCGAGCAAGAAACTCATAACCAATGGTTGCCATGAGCCACGGCTACGGAATAGTGAGCCATAGCCACATCATTGCCCTAAAAACAAAATGCCCAACAGTAAAAATTAAACAAAGCTGCAGTGAACCGGCAACCACCACAGACCAATCAATGCACAAAAAGCCAACACCACAAAGAAACCAGCAACAAAGAAAATCGGAAACAACACCACAAACCCAAAAATTATTTCCTCACATGTTTACCCCTCCCACGAGAGGAAATAGAAACAACATGATGGTCCTTCTGCACGGTAAAATCAACCCCATGTTCATCATCCCCACTAGCCTCGGAAGAGGAATTGGATGAGAAATGAAGCCAATCAAGTTGCATCCTAACACTCTCACCCGAATAGGCACCCACATGAGCAATCAAAGCCTTAAGTGATAATAAATTAACAGTGACCTCAACAAAATGTCCAGTTACATGAACAGTAGGCGTAACTGGGGAAATAAATGAAGGAACAACACCACTAGTAGATCCCTCACTTGCCACACCCGAAGGTGTAACCGATCTATCCCCATCCAAATTAACCAGAGACCTAGGGGAAGATTCAATAGGGATGTGAGACTCATCATAATCCTCCACAGCCGCACAAGGCAAAGCATTTCCAATCAAAAAACACAGGGCAAAAATAACACCCACCTCAGACAAAACGGGACCAACATTAATAGTACAACTCAAACAACCACCAACACTATCACAAGCCCGAGGGTCCTGAAACGACAACCAACACTAGCACAAGCCCGAGGGTCATGAAACGAAGGTAAAACCCCAGCCACCACAACTTCAGAAACCTTCATAGGAGACGCAGCGGCAACCATCTCATCAACAGAAACCAAACAAATTTGAGAATTAATTGGACTAACCCCTTTACAAACCACATCATTATCAACGTTATTAACAACAGGTTCAAGTTCTAGATGCAGCATAGCCTCAACAACATCCCCAACAGCAGGGATCAACACAACAGGGGCAGGGGTGAAGGAGTTAAAACAAAATTATCAGCAGCCTTAGAATGAATCTTATTACAGTCCATTAGATCAGTCGCAGGAGGGCGATAGTTGCCAAAGACGTGGTCAATACATTTACAAGAAGCACAAAAAAAGGAGAATTCATCCATAACCACATGCTGGACATAGCCATATTTCTCGGAACCTAACCACACCTTATATGGGTAAGATTTAATGATATCCAGCTCCACTAAAACATGAGCTAGAGACGGTCTGAAACCAATAGATGTAGCATAATCAATTTTCAAAGGTTTGCCAAAGAGAGTGGCCAAAGTATGAAGAATTTTGGGTGGAAAGAGGTGAGGTCGTATTTGCGGGAAAGAAATCCAAATTGGAATCACCGGCGACTCCACATAGACATCAACAAGGGGCGACCACTTAGTAAGATTCATATAACTATTAAAAACTAAATAAGATCTGTAACAGAAGACCCTACAATAATCAAGGTCATTTGTGAGCTTAATAAGAATATGCGACGAATCCAACAGGGTAACCGAAACCTCCCCGTTAAGCTTGAAATTGAAAAAAAAAAAATACAAATGGAATCTAGAGAGGGTCGTTTTGAGGGAAAAAATTAAACTAAAGAGAACTGAAAAGGCTTAGCTAAAACCTTAATTTCCTGGTCCAAGATCCAGAGGGAAGGTAATCCATGGAAGGAGGAAGCCCTAAGTTCAGGAAAATCACTGACAGAAGAAGAACCAGCAAGAACGTCCAGAAAAGAATGAGAAGAAGAACCCCCTAAAAAATCAGGGTCACAAAGTTTTGGCGCCATCCGGCACATGTCAGAAGTGAAAAACCAAAACCAGCAAACCAAAAACCAAACCAGAAAGAAAAGGAGACTTCCCTGAAGAAAGCAAGGTAGACCGACGCCACCGAGGCGAGCAGCCCAACAGCGCAGGAAGCACCGGAGGGAGCTAGGGCAAACCCTAGCAGAGCGAGAGAGAGCGAGCAAAAAATGTAAGGCCTTCGAATGTTAACTAAGCGTTTGGTTGTTTTAGTTATATCACACCTTAGGAATAGTTTATCTACCTTTGTACTAGCTTTCTAGAAAGTTCGAGGATATTCATAGAATATGTTATATATGTGAGTTGTATTAGGAAGGCAAAAAGGAGGAGAATATTATATACTTTTGTGCTTTGTGCTTGGTTTGTTCTCCAAATTTATGTCTTTAAATAAGTTGGTATTAGATGACCACATGACTCGCCGATAATTGATATGAAGAAGATGGGTTGCAGAAGAAGATTGGTTATCGACTATAATTGATGCTGAAGAAGATGGGTTGTCGGCGATGATCGAAACCATGAATTACGTTGCTTAATAAGTATGATCTTGCTGGAAGCTCATACGTCGATGATCTATTTGGAGCTCATGAGAAATGGGCCTCTCTCTTCAATGCCAATACATTTTGTGCAAGTATGATCAGTTTGGAGTGGAGTGATATCATGAAGAAGCACTTCGTGAAGTATTTCAATAGAAAATTACCTCTCTCAAAATTTATGGAGCAATATTCCAAGTAAATATTTCAGTATCTTGATAAGGAACTACAAAAAGATTTTAGATCAAAGCAAAGTAAATCAGTGTTAATGGTTGATATGTCCATGCTCAATAAGTAGTAGAATCTTATACTAGCTAGGTTATTATATATGGACTTTGAAGCCGAGTTCAAAGGGTAGCTTTCATTCATCTGTGAACTTATTTGTACAGATGAAATGATGAACTTATTATTTGCTTGATTATTGTCCTTCATACCTTTATCATTGTCTGTGATCCTCGAACCACCAACACCTAACTATGATTCCTTTGACAATTGTTGCCCCACTACAACAGTCCCAGACCATTGTTACCCAACTACAACCCTCCAACTACTGCCACCAGCTAACTACGGTTATCATACCACAGTTATTCGACTATGATCCCTCCAACAACTATCGTCTGACTAGTGCCATTTTATTTTTTATATATGAAAATGAATAAATGAAAAGCTAAAATCTATAAAATTATTCTACTCATCTTCAATAAATTAACAAATTAAAAAAAAATGTACAATTAATAAAATTAATCTCGAGTTAATAACGAGTAGAACACTACTTTAATTATACTCAACTCATTAAGGGCATCTCCAACCGAAACTCTCATTTTTCACTGCAAAATGCAGTAAAATCAAAAAGTGTTGTGATTCATCTCCAGTGGAACGCCATTTTGCCCCCAAATCATCGCTCGTTTCTTTCGCGCCTTTCTCATACAAGTTCGATAGAGAGAAAGAAATGGCGCAAGTGAACAGTGCGACACCAATATTGGCGTCGCACTGTTCAACTGCGATCAAATGACGGAAGAAATGGCGTTCGGTTGCGACGTTTGAGGGCCTCCATTCGGCTGTTTGCCAAACGGTTGGAGATGGTCTAAGAGAACAAACTCAAAATAATACTTCAATATTAATTTGCTTAAGGAATAATTCTAATATAAACTTTTTAGAGGACCAAATATGATTTTTTTTTTCATAACAAGTCAAGTTTATAAAAATAATGTCTAGCTTAAAGTCATAATTAATTTTCCCAAAAAACAAGTCATAATTATTTAATTAATTAAATTTATATTTAATATTTTTTTAATATTTAGATCAATTAAGATAAATTCATACACATATATAAGACTCAACTAAAAATCTCTTAATTAGCAACCATAGAGCAGCAACAAAGAAAACCGAAAACAACACCACAAGCCCAAAAATTATTTCCTTCCACATTTACCCCTCCCATGAGAGGAAACAGAAACAACATGACGGTCCTTCTACATGGTAAAGTCAACCCCAGGTGCATCATCCCCACTAGCCTCCGAAGAGAAATTGAATGAGAAATGAAGCCAATCAAGTTGCATCCTTACACTCTCACTCGAATAGGCACCCACATAAGCAACCAAAGCCTTAGGTGATAATAAATTAATAGGGACCTCAACAAAATGACCAGTTGCTTGAACAATAGGTGTAACCGAGGAAATAAATGAATGAACAACACCACTAGCAGATCGCTCACTCGTCACACCCGAAGTTGTAACCGATCTATCCCCATCCAAATTAACGAGAGATCACGGGAAGATTCAAACGCACCACGTCATATAATACATATTGACCACGGATGGGTCCCACGACCAACATAATTGTATAAAGGAAAATTAATCTCCGATAACTCTTCATCCTACTTCATCTTCACATGAAGACCAATGGATTACTTTGACCTCTTCGTCTCCCTCACCACCACTATCTTCCTCTGCTCACTAATCCCATCCTCCCACGCAGCAACCTCCACCATCTCTCCAAACCAGCCCCTCGCAGACGGTGGCACCATCGTCTCCCCTGGCGGCGTCTTCGAGCTCGGCTTCTTCAGTCCCCTCCGCTCCACAAACCGCTACATCGGAATATGGTATCACAACTTCTCCAACTCTACAATCGTCTGGGTGGCCAACCGCAACTCCCCTGTTTCCAACACCTCCGGATCGCTCGCCATCGCCGGCGACGGCAATCTGGTGGTTCTCGACGGTCAGCAGCGTGTCATGTGGACGTCCGGAGTATCGTTGAAAACGAGAAACACGACGGCGGCGTTGCTAGATACTGGAAATTTGGTGCTTAGAAACTCAGAAGTCGTCGTTTGGCAGAGCTTTGATCATCCTGCGGATACTTATCTTCCTGGTATGAAACCAGGGCTCAATTTACTCACCAACGAGAACCATCAATTTACTTCACGGAGAAGCGAGGATGATCCGGCTCCGGGGAAGTTTACTCTGGGGATCAACCCCGACCGGTCGACGCAGATCTTTATATGGGATGACGGCGAGCCGCGGTGGCGCTCCGGCCGGTGGAACGAACAGGTATACCGGCACTAGCTAGTTGTCTAATGCACATGTATTCAAAAGGCCTAATTGAATTGGTAAATGTTCTGTTTTTTTAATGAAAGACGAAGTAAACTCAATTTAAAAAATTAATATTTTTTTTTAAAGTTTTTGAACGATTATTTTGCTTTCAATCTTAGCATTATGTTGATACAAATTATATCACAATAATTAAAAAATATTAAATTTATTTAAAGATTTGGACTATAAAAATTTACGCATAAAATATTAATCTCAAAATAAATTCAACAATTATCAAATCAATTGCATGAAAATATTCTTAGAACTTTTTTTTCATATATTTTTATTATTTTATTTTAAATTCGTATTATATTTTTATTTGATTTAGCTTTTTGCCATTTTTAAGGATTTATAATATTAAAATTATTTTTTATAGTCAAACATATTAGAATATATTTAATTTGTGTCAAAATAATCATTCAACTATAACTATAATACTAATAACTATTAAAATTTTATTTTTTGATAATAATCATTCAACTACTCTGTTTCTCTTTTATATATATATATAACATTTGAGTCAATTAAAAATAAGTTGACACATATTTCACATATATAAACTTCAAATATCTATTCCTCTTTGTTTTCTCACTTCTTCATTAGAAGAGTGCACGAGTGTCAATTTCGGGTTGGTCCTTTTGGTTCGCAGCTGGGATGGAATGGGATAAGGAGAGGAACATAGAAATAAAAAGAGACTTACTCAAAAAAATTTAATTACGCGCAGTGTCTAGCTGTTACATGCTGTTGTGGCTTTCTTATTCTTGTACTACAACCTTTCGATATGTCCGAGAAAAAAAGGGTCGAACTCAGAACTAATTCGGCACTATTCGGGTAAACCTGCACCGACCCGTTTTAGAAATTGGGTCGGTTTTTCGGATCTAAATTGGACCCGCTTTGGGTCCGGGTCAACCCGACCTGACACAAATGTCCCAAGGCCGACATAATATTGCTAGTTTTAAGTAAAAAAATGAGTCAAACTCTGATTTTAGGGTAAAAATCAGGTTAATATCGAATTTTCGAGTCAAAATGGGTCAATTTTGGGTTTCTGGGTTAACTGGAACCTGACCCGATTTTTGAAACTAGTTTATTTGTTAAACCTAAATCCTACCCATTTCGGGTTGAGTTTACCCTAATCTAAAATTTTCAGGTCGGATTCAAATCGCTTTTTCAGATCATATCAAATATTCAAGAGTGGAGTACTGCTGATAGATCAAATAAATAAACTCATATATGATTTTTATAAATCTTAAACAGATCTTCATAGGAGTAGAAGGCATGCTCGCCGAGTACATCTATGGCTTCCGCCTCAACAACTTCGCGTTAGAAAACGTCATGTACTTCTACTACAACCCATTCAACAGCACGCCACAGCGCTTCGTTCTGTCCCCTGCTGGCTTCGTGGAGCATCTCGAATGGCAAGAAGACTCTAACTCATGGCAACAGATCTGGGCTCAGCCAGTCACGGAATGCGAGCTTTACAACAAGTGCGGGAACAACGCCACCTGCACCAACGGCAGGAACGACGGCGACTCGCCGACATGCGATTGCTTGAAAGGCTACGTGCGAGGTTCGGAAGGGTGCGTGAGAAGGACGCCGCTGCAGTGTGAGAGGAGGGAAGGCGATGCGGCGGGCGAGAAGAAGGATGGGTTTTATCGCATAGAGGGATTGAAGTTGCCGGATTTGTCTGATTGGGTTGCTGGCTCGGCGAGTCTGAGCCAGTGTGAGGAGACCTGCTTGAGGAACTGCTCTTGTAAAGCTTACAGCTTTGTGACCGGAATTGGGTGCTTGATATGGGCGAGGGAGTTGATGGATCTTCATTTCTTTTCCGATGGGGGGAATGATTTCTATGTCAGGCTTGCCGGTTCAGAGCTTGTTGGTGAGTGCATTAATTTCCTCTTTTCTGGGTTGGTTTAGATCGGGCCAAGCTTATGTATTGATGATATCTAAATGTTTATATGAATTATGAAATGATTATTAGTACACAGAGAATAAATAAATACATAATTTCATGGCTGTCATTACAGAGAAGAAGGTCAAAGTTCCTGTGTTACTGATAGTGGTAATAGGCTTACCCGCCCTCTCTGTACTTGGATGCATTTGTCTGCTGTGGATTTTTCGGAGGAAACTCAGAGGCAATATTACTGTGTAACAGTTCAGCTATTAACGTAAAAAATAATAATTACAAACTGTCTAATGGCTGTTTTTCTTTAATTAACCAGCTTTGTTGAAGCGACCAAAGAGACAAGAAGAAGCGTCGGTGAATCCCAGTACAGGATTCTCCGGCGTTCCTGTGAATGAGGAGGAGGAAGGAAGTGATGGGAAGCGCACAGAATCCACAGTATTCAGCTTTGAGACTGTAGCGGCAGCCACAAGTAATTTCTCCAGTTCTAATTTTCTTGGGGAAGGAGGATTTGGCCCTGTTTATAAGGTAATTAATAAGTCTCTCATTATTATAACTGCAAACAAGTTCATGAACAATCTTTTACATGCTCATAAATCATAACATCAACATATGTATTTTTTATCACAAAATCAATATATATTTCTCAAAATGTGAGGTAGGGCTATAAGAGAGGTGAAATTATTTTGTGTGGATATGGATGTTGTCCGGAGGAGAATCAGAACGTGTCACGTCACCCATTTGTTGTGTACCACGGCATGTACCAGGTGATGTGGCACGTTCTGACTCGCCTCAAGACAGTCTGGTGTCCTTGCAGAATAATTTCTCATAAGAGAGACGAGCAAAACTAGAGTCACCATTAGTTTTAGCTTGAGTTTGATTAATTTATCGATTTTGAGCTCGAGCTTAATTTTATAAAATAGAAAATCATTCTTATTCAAACATTTATTATAATAACATCATAAACAGAATAATAAATTAACTAAAAATAATAAGAAATTACTTGAAATAAGAAAGAAAAATACAACATTTAAATATTTTTAGCGATTTATAATAATTAAGTTTTTATATATTTTAAGTATATTTATCATAAATATCTTTTAAACCAGCCAATTCACAAGCTAAATAGTCGATTTAGCGTTGACTCAAATTTGAGTAGTTAGCTCATTAAACTTGGCTCAAGAACAATTTATCGAGTTGAGCCCGAATTAATCTAAGAGTGAACTTGACTCAATTGTCCCCTAATTAGGCTATAAAGCTAAAGATGATGGTGAAAAATTAGCTATACACAGAGCTTAGACTATCAATTAAGAGGTCTTGAATTTAAGTCTGTGTGAATTTATCTTAATTAACCTGGATATAAAAAAAAAAAATTGAGAATTTCTAAAACCAGCCGTGAAGTTGCATTTGGAAAAGCGCGTCTTGTGATATATTTACTACTTTAATCAAAAGTCAAATAAGGTGTTTTTGAACAGAGTTTATTGTTGTTGTGGCTTAGATGATGAAAGGGAATTAATTGGTTTTGTTTGGCTGTCTAACGTCGTCCAGTCCTTTTCCAAAGTCCAGCTAACTGGACAGTTGAAGTAGTCGTTGCCAAAGAAATTTAAACTGAAAGGGTATTATCAAAGTTAAAGTATCTCATCTTGAATGTTATTTGAGAGTTTTGGTTGTCAACTAAGATTTTATTTGGGACGACTTTCTTCCTACTTTATAAAGCGGCGCTTCTAGTACAAAAATCTTGAAAGTTGTTTTAAGAAGCAGTAAGAAAGCCGTCCCAAACAAAGCCGAAGAGATCTTTCATTCAAGTCTTACGTATGTGATGTGCAAGTCTTTATTGAACTTTGCCTACATCTGTGCACCTAAAATGCCCATAAACTGGCCTACAATCAAGGGTTAACTATCATGGAAAAGAGAACTTCTCAATAGCTTTTAAAATCAAATTTTTGTTTTTGAAATGTTCATGAAAGTAACCATATATACACTACATGAATTGGCCAAAATAGAGTTTCTCAAATGAAAATTTTGTTTCCGTTGGTGCTTCAGCAATTGAGAAAAACAATGATGATCTTTTTTTGTTAATATATTACAGGGCCTACTACCAGGAGGACAAGAGATAGCTGTAAAAAGACTGTCTAACAGTTCAGGACAAGGCATTGAACAATTCAAAAATGAAGTCCACCTTATTGCGAAGTTACAACACAGAAATCTTGTAAGGCTTCTAGGCTTTTGCGCTCAAAGGGATGATAAAATGCTCGTCTACGAGTACATGCCAAACAAAAGCTTGGATGATTTTCTTTTTGGTAATTAATCATATTCATGTTCATTACTACTTACCACCCATCAAGAAAAAATTATGTTAAAATTACTTTGAACAGATCAAAACAAGAAAAGATTGTTAGATTGGAACACGAGGTACAATATCATTGAGGGAATTGCTAGAGGACTCCTCTATCTCCACAGAGACTCGAGGCTTAGAGTTATCCATCGTGATATGAAAGCAAGCAATATTTTGCTGGACGACTCGGTGAATCCAAAAATTTCAGACTTTGGAATGGCCAAGATCTTTGGAAGTGATGGCAATGAAACAAAAACAAAACGAGTTGTTGGCACATAGTAAGTTCCGAGATGTTCCATCGAAGTTTGGAATACGCATTGAACTGTTCAACGACTTTTAGCTAATGTTTTTGGTAAACTCATTGAACTGCAGCGGTTACATGTCGCCAGAATATGCAATGCAAGGTCTGTTCTCTGTGAAGTCTGATGTTTATAGCTTCGGAATACTCGTCTTGGAGATTGTTAGCGGGCATAGAAACAGCATATACCAACATCCTGACCTGTATCTCAACCTCATTGCTTGTGTAAGTCAAAGAATAACCAAACTTGCCTTTAAGTTGGTTACTTCAAGATTATAAATTTTGAAAAGATAAAACTTTTGAATTATTGCAGGCTTGGAAGTTTTGGACAGAAGATAATGTGATGGAGTTCGTTGATCCATCAATGAGGGATTCATGCTTGCTGATTGATGTTTCAAGATGTGTTCAATTGGGGCTTTCATGTGTTCAGGATAGAGCTAATGAGAGGCCAACAATGGCGACTGCTATAATGATGTTGGAGGGAGGAACTATGGCTCATCCAATGCCAAGACAACCTACTTTTGCGTTTGAGAGAAGCATAGGTGAGACTGTATCAACTGATCAGAGATTCATCTCTGGAAATTCATTAATGACCACTATGGTATCAGGTCGATAGTATTAAGTTCATAAGCTTAATCGCATTCTTCAGAGATCATATTCAAAGTAGAATTATGCGTATCCTTATTGTACTTGCATGCAATTTTTTTTTAATTTCTTAAAGAAATAAATGTAGTTATTGACCTTTTAATCTTTAGTTCAGAATTCATTGATCAAATTCTTATAAGAATGAATTAGATGGCCATTGTATTTATTTAAAATGAGTACAATAAAAAATGTAATTATTTAGTAAAACTTAAATTTATGACTAAACAACTTCTGCCCTTTATTTAATCACTTAAATTTATGTCTATGTGACTTGTTAATAATACATGACTCACCACTGAGTAGCCATTATTCCTGCAACACATCGAGCTTATGTCATTAATATGTAGCGTCGCAAATGAATTGAGGTGAGCTAAGTAGGAGCTTGTTCATTAAGCTCATTTATTATCAGCTTGTTCAAGTTTAGTTCGAGATTGATTCGAGTTTTTTCTGTTTTTGCACAAATTTAATTGATGTTGTTCATGAACATAAACGAACCGAACACATACTTGTTCAAGGTTGTTTATTTAACAGTCAATTATTTTTAAAATTATTCAAACTTATTTGATTATTTAAACAAACTATCATAAATGAGTTATAATTATGTCGAGACATAAGTAATTTGTAGAAGACTCGTTTCATTTGAAGCCCTATTAATATATCCAATCCGCCAATGCCATAGCTTTATTTTATTCACATTTGATGTAGCCATCATTTGATACATGCACAGCTAAATGTACTACTAACTCATTATAATACAACTCGAGTCACCCCTAACTTTAGCTTGAGCTTGGTTAATTAATCGAGTCGAGCATGAGCTCGAGCTTATTCTTTGAGTTCTAGCTGGTTCAAGAGCCGACTCATTTTTTACGAATGAGAGAAAATGATTATAATTCAAGTAATTTTTGTTTAATAAAATCGTAAAGAAAAAAGAAAAAAAAAAGAATTATTTGATCATAAAAAGTGAGATACAAATTTGAAATATTATGAATAACTATATATTTAAAAGTATAAATGCTAATATATTTTAAGTGTATTTTATATTAATATTTTTTAAAAGAACTAGCTCATGAACTAACAAGTTTAATTATGACCAACTCAAAATTAATTTATTAAATAATCGAGCTCAACTTATATGTAATTTATCAAGTTGAGTTTGAACTGGCTCACGAGCCGATTTAACTCAGTTACACCACTAACCCCATATGTGCGATACATAATAGTCTGCAATTTTTTCTGACGTGTGATGAGGAGAAATTATTATATGCTGTCATCAAATTATCTGGAGTTGAATCAAGATGTGTCATGTCACTGCATATATGACGATACACAAAAAAATAATGATTTGACACATCCTAATTCGCCTCTAAATAACTTTGGGATGACCGTGTGTAATAATTTTTCTGTGAGGAGAATCCACGCGGTAGCCGAGTTTTGTTTTTTTGAGAAAAAAATTCCCTGCGTACCATTTTACAAGCTTACTTATTCAACATGGATCATTGGATTAATGTCATTTTGTGGGATATCTAATAAAATCATAATATCAATAAAGCATTTAAAACCCCACCAGTCTTAGGTGAGTTGGTGGGCGAGCTTGATTGGAAACCTGATATCCCAAATTTGAATCCCGGCAATGAACGGAGCAACAGAGAATACACACAGGAAAATTGGAGAAGACGAACTTCTTCTTGGATTAAAAAAAAAATTCCCTGCGTACCATTTTACAAGCTTACTTATTCAACATGGATCATTGGATCAATGTCATTTCATGGGATATTTAATAAAATCACAATATCAATAAAGCATTTAAAACCCCACCGGGCTTAGGTGAGTTAGTGGGCGAGCTTGATTGGGAACCCCTCATCACAAATTCAAATCCCCCCTCATACGACACGACTTCTTCGGGGGAGAAAATAATTGTGGGTCTTGCGCCTGTGGGGCTGGTTGTTGGTAGACTCGCCGAGGGATTAGTTACGCTGCCACCCGCCAAACACCTCTTTCAAGATGTGGGAGCGGGTAGATACGTCTGTTCCAAATAATAATAATAAAGCATTTAATACCTAATTGTCAACGAATGAGGTCAAAAGTCAACCTGAGGTCTCATTTACCTACCAAAAAAAGGATCCTTATTGATTCCCGTATCGAACATCTCTATCAAACTTAAAAAAACCTCAGTTCTCTTAATTCCACCAATCGAACCTCTCCTGCAATCACTCAGCCTCAGCTACTCAGAGCATTTGATCTCATTGAATGCTCTCTCATGGATCGCTTTCACGTTCATAATTGGGGTATTTTCTCCTTCATCCTCTTCTCCATCACCACTCTGCTCTCTCTCCCACTATGCCGCTCATCCACCTCAATCGATATAAACCATTCTCTCACTGACGGCGAAATCCTCGCCTCACCTGCCGGGGTCTTCAAACTCGGCTTCTTCACCGTAGGAAATGCGGGAAACCGCTACGTCGGCATCTGGGAGAACAACTTCTCCGTTGAGAACGTCGTCTGGGTCGCCAATCGCGAGAGGCCTATCCCCAACCGCTCCGGCTCTATCGCCATCATCGGAGACGGAAATATCGCCGTCCTCGATGGTGCTCGGCGAGTCCTGTGGTCATCGAACGCGAAACTCCGGTCCAACAAATCGACGGTGGAGCTCTCAGATTTTGGCGACCTGATGCTCAACAACTCCGGCGCCATCGCATGGGAGAGCTTCGACCATCCGTGCAATACCTACCTTGCTGGTATGAAGATAGGGCTCGATCTCAGCAACAACTTGAGCAGACTGTTCACCTCTTGGAAGACGGCGGATGATCCCTCTCCTGGTAATTTCACTCTCGGCGTCGACCCCTCGGCGCAAATCTTTATATGGGAGGGAAGCCGGCCGTGGTGGCGTTCCGGCCAGTGGAACGGCCAGGTGTTCATTGGAATACCGGACATGGTATTCGCAGCCGCTTATGGATTCAAGCTTAGCATCTTCAACGAAGGAAACAAGAGGTATTACTACACAGATTTCAATAGCTCGCATCGATGGGTTCTTACCCCTACTGGAACAGTGAAGCATTTGTTTTATTTGAAGAGCACCAAGACTTGGCTTAATTTATGGGAAGCGCCGGCGACAGAATGCGAAAAGTATAACAGATGCGGAGATTATGGAAGCTGCACTGATGGGGCGGAGCCGATTTGTAGCTGCTTGAAGGGATTCGTGCCGAGGCTTGCAAGTGAATGGAGCAATGGGAACTGGACGAAGGGGTGCGTGAGGAGGACGCCGTTACAATGTGAAGGCAACGGGGTGGAGCCTGATCAGTTCTATTTGATGCAAGGTATAAAGCTGCCGGATTATTCAGAACTGGCTACTCAGGTGGTGAATGTGAATGACTGCGGAGAGTTTTGCATGAGGAATTGCTCTTGCAATGCTTACAGTTTTGTGGATGCCATTGGGTGTATGATTTGGGGAGTCAATTTGGCTGACATTAATGTCTTCACAAGCGGAGGGAATGATCTGTATCTTCGCCTTTCTGCTTCGGAATTCAACCAAGGTATGTGTTCCATCAAATCAAGTAGAAGATTGGATTTGGAATGGAGTCATTCTGCTTTGAGCACTTGTGTTTTATTTTCAGGTGAGGCCATAAGTGACAAGAAGAAGGCTCTAGCAGCTTATATCATAGTGATTATTGTTTTGGCTGGACTGTTTTTGATAGGATGCATCACAGTCTTGTTTCGCAATTTTAAGAAAAGAGAGAAGAAAGGTAATAGCTTAGCTTTAGGCTAACCAATTATCTGCGAATTCTTCTTTTGACATTTACTTATTTATGCAGAGCTTTCTCCGCCAAAGATGAATCAAGGAGTGGGAGCAATTTCTGATGTTATTGATATACATGGTGAAGGAAAAGAAGATGGATGCCACGAAATTCCCTTTGTTAGTTTCAGTACCATTCTAGCAGCAACAGAGGGCTTCTCTCAATCAAATTTGCTTGGGAGAGGAGGATTTGGCCCTGTTTACAAAGTGAGTTTGCTTCATAGAGTTAATAGATCTAATATTTTTTTTTTTCTTTCAGCTATAATCATTTTAAGTAAAAAAAAAAGTAAAAAATTTTAACTTTCTCTGCGAAGTGACTCCAATCTAACATTTGGGGTTTAGTTTTTTTTTTTTTTTTTTTGGGGGAAATGGGTTTAGTTTTTTCAACAAGATGCTTGTTTGCATTGACTTGACTAAAATCTAAAGATGAAAAGACATTTCCCAATCTTGTAATTGAAGGATAAGTTTTGTAATTTTCAAAAGAAAAACAACTAGGTTAACCATCATGTAGGGGCGGAATCAGCCTCTTTTCTGAGGATAGGTAAAATTGAACTGTGAATTGTATAATTTTATATATGAAATATGAAATAGAATTTTTTTTTTCTTAAAATTTGGGTAAATTTATTTATCGAAAGTGGACAAAATAGTTAAAATACTTATTCTTCTGAGAAAAAAAAATTTCAGGATGATCAATTGCCCACCGTCGTGCAAGCACATATATATGCATATATATATATATTAGGAAAACATCTATATTTTTACTAAAATTTTAAAGAACGTTGCACTGTGAAAATCACAAATAGTTTTTCATAAAATCAGACCCACCGTTGAAAAAATTATTGATGCGTTTGATGAACGCCGGCTGGGCTTCTTGTTTCTTTTTTGCTTAATAAAAAATGAACTTAATATGAACGAGCATTTTCTGTCCGTCAATAATTTCGCAATTGCTAAGAAACCAAGCCGAGCAAAGCCAAAAAACAGTCATTTTGGACTCGTTTGCAACCTTTTGCTTACGTGCAAAGTGTTAAATGGCAAAGAAAAGGTATATTGTTCATATTTAAACATTGCTGAATGTTTTCCATGCAACCTTCAGTTGTACTTGTTACTAAAATCATCTTTTTTATTTGCTTCCAAGTTCCCTGTTCTTTGGTTTAGGAAATATTAAGAGGGTGCTTATCTTGCAATAACTTTCTCTGAATCGCCAAGAAATCTGTTTTTGTGGTCTTACAGGGCATTCTTCCAGGAGGCCAAGAAATAGCCGTAAAAAGACTTTCTAGGGGTTCAGGGCAAGGCATGGAGGAATTCAAAAATGAGGTCATCCTCATTTCAAAGTTACAACATATAAATCTTGTCAGACTTTTAGGCTTCTGCACTGAGAATGAAGATCAAATTCTAGTCTATGAGTATATGCCAAACAAAAGCCTTGATTCTTTCATTTTTGGTAATTACTTGTGACTTTTTCCAGATCATCCCTTACTAGCAGTCTTAGCAAAATGGTCTTATAGAAAATTTTCCACAGAACCTAGCAAGAAAGAACAATTAGATTGGAAGATACGGTACAAAATCATAGAAGGAATTGCTCGAGGACTCCTCTATCTTCATCGAGACTCGAGGTTACGAATCATACATCGTGATTTGAAAGTCAGCAACATTTTATTAGATGAAGGGATGCATCCAAAAATTTCCGACTTTGGACTTGCAAGAATATTTAGGAGCGACAACAACGAAACAACCACGAAACGGGTGGTTGGGACGTAGTAAGTTATATCTTAGATTATATACTACGTTGTAGATTACTCGAAAAACTACTAATTCTTTCTCATAAAATGTAGTGGTTACATGTCACCAGAATATGCAATGCATGGTCTGTTCTCTGTGAAATCTGATGTCTACAGCTTTGGCGTACTACTCTTAGAGATTATTAGTGGGAAGAAAAACAGCACATATTGCCATCCTGGATTGAATCTCAACCTCCTTGCGTATGTAAGTAACCAAGTTATCATGTTTGCAGATCTCCATAAGATTTAACTCGTAACAAAAAATTTGGATTGATATAGGCTTGGAAGCTATGGAATGAGGAAAATGTGATGGAGTTTGTGGATCAATCATTAAGGGATTCATTCTCACCTGTTGAGGTATCAAGATGTATCCACTTGGGCCTCTTGTGTGTTCAGGATCGAGCCAACGATAGACCAACAATGTCTTCAGTGATTGTAATGCTGGAAAGCGATGTTGAAGTTCATACTGTGCCAAGCCAGCCAACTTTTACATTCGAAAAAATTCCTAGTGATGCTCAGTCACAGTCATCTAATGATAGAGCATGCCGTGTCTTTGATTCTATCACCATTTTGACAGGTCGGTAGTTGTCAAGCTTTTTACTGGGAAACTGTTTTTTTTTTTTATGGGACAGGGGATTCGAGCCCGGATGAGATGGGAGGAATTTCTTTCGCCGACCACTCGGCCGCAGACCCAATTTCATACTGGTAAACTGTAGCTTGCTAGTATTTGTTCAACTTTGGGGGAAATAATTGTTTTACTTAGGTAATTGTATCTGGGGACTTCTGATGTAGGAGATAGTCCTTGTAAACAACAATCATCCCAGATAAATACTGTTCATTTCCAATCAATTTGAGATTGAATGAAAGGAAGAGGGGATGATTTCATATTAAGATCTTTTCTTTCATAGAGAGATAATTAGGTCATTTTTATAGTTATAGTTGCTTGAATCATACTCCACTTTGGTTTTTCTTGTTTGTCTGGGATGACTTTCTTACTGTTTCTTAAAGTAATTTTTAGCAGCTTCTTAAGAAGCAATAAGAAAGCTGTCTCAAACGAAGCCCAAATATGCTATATGCTCTATGCCCTAATAATTATCTCCTTATATGAAAACTCTCTATTGGTTATCATATCACTCTTTCTTAAACAAAAAAAATTTAATATCATTTAATATTATGCATCAAGAGCTAACTTAATCATATGGAGCTAGGGGAGTAAATGAGTTGGGCACAACTAGGGTTACCTATAGTTTTTGTTTGAATTTTTTAATTAATCGAGCTCAAGCTGGAGCATAATTCCATGAGGTCAAGGCAACTCACCAGCTTGCATGTTTATTATGAAAGAAAGAAATTGATTATGATTAAATTAATAATTATAATAAAATTATTAAAACAAAGAGAAATTAGAAGAGAGATAATTAAAAATCTTTTAATACAAGAAAATGAGATATAGTTTTTAAATATTTTAATAACTTATATTGAATTGCCCGAATACTAATATATTTTAAGTGTATTTTATATTTATATATTTTTAAATGAGCTGACTTTCAAGCTAATGAGCAGAAACTGGCTTAAGTTTAGCTCATTAGCTTATTGAGTTTAGCTCATGAATCATTTTTCCAGTTGAGTTCGAGTCAACTCACAAGTCAGCTTGACTCATTGACACCCTTATGCGGAGCTATCATGAGGGTCACTAGTTCTTGAATAGTTGATCATAATAAAAGGCATTAAAGACATAAAAGCGCAAACCACATAAATTACTTGATTCATGCCATTCCATTTGCTTTGATTCTACTTACTAGGGGGTGTGGATCATAGTAGTATAAATGTTGGACTTGATACACAAATGATCAAAAATATTTTTAACTCAAAAGATTAAGGTCTCATTTGGGAAGGCTTTCTTACTGCTTTTCAAAATAATTTTTTATACAAAAAATAAAATTTTTTAACTAAAAATTGTTGTAGGAAGCACCGAAGCAGCAAGAAAGGCACCCCAAACGAAGCCTAAATTTATGAGTGAGGACTAACTCTTAGTATATCTACCCAACTATTAGCATTCATATATCTAACCTAGAATTAAATCTAATATCTAAACTAGATGGTTGATTTCATTATGATTATTAGAAATTAAAATTTCCTAAGAAATATGAACAAATGCACATTTTCATTTTTAATTTTCTATCTAACTCAAATAAAAATAAAGAAGAAAATTAATAGAACATACAACATTATTATGTATTAGAATATTTTTTAGACAAAAAAAGAGAAAATTTACCATCTTAACAGTATTATATGAAAATTAGGATTTAGAGAATTTATTTCTTAGATTTCACTATAGGATTCTTTAGTATTAACAATATTGGGATTTTAATTGAGAACACTTGAGCTCACAAATGAAACTTTTTTAAAAATATATTAGAAAAATGTAAGACAAATTAAATAAATATTATAACATTAGTGTTAATTATAAAATGTTCTGATATTATCTTATTATGTATTTTTTATATTATAATAATATTACAGTTTTGTTCTAATTACGCAATTATTATATTATTTGTATTTTTTATTGTAAATAATTATATAACGTTTAGTTACTCTAATCCTTATTTAAATTATCCAAGGCATCACTTAAACAATTATTATAATACAAAAATTAAAATAAAATAAAATAGCATACTATTTAAATTACATTAAAATTTTATATTAATAACTGTAATGTTATAATTTTAAATGCTCAATTAGAGAAAAAAAATCAAATTTCTTTTAATTTGTTTGTATTTATTAAGGAAAAATAAACTAATTCTAATAATTGACTATAAATTCAATTAAATACACTTAAAATATTAAACATTGCTTAAATTGCAATTAAAGTTTAATATCAATTTAACTATTGGTGAATGCGCTTTGAGATTCGTTCTACAATCATGGTTTGTGAGAAAAGTATTAAATAGGCAGTTATGCACACTTATATAATATATAATATAAATTATATTCTAGATTATAATAACTACAACAATTATAAAAATAATGTAATATAAATAATACATTATTTTATTTTATTATATTAATAAAGCAATAATTAGATAACGAATATTATAATATTTCTTTAACATATTATTATTTTAAAAATAGGAAGAGGCTATATCACAGGCTAAATAAGTAAATATTGCAGCTCTCGACAAAAAAAAGTTTATTTTCAAAGTTCAAAAGTGACGGCAAGACAAAGTTGAACAAAAATAAAGTCAAAGAAGGCAGAAGCCGAACCTTTAATGACAAAGGCAACAAATTCTCTGCTGTTTTAACTCCTGAAGACATACTCCACGCAAGACAGAGATCTTCGTGCTTAGCTGACCATATTCTGCAAGCTGAATCTCACACAGATAAAAAATTTCAAACCAGACCAATTCACCTTTGAGGATTCATGGGTAGCTTTAATATTGAAACTATCATCTCAATCTTCCTCTCTTCAGTACTCATCTGCTTTACCTCCCTTCAATTCTTTCCACCAGCTCAAGCAGCAAGCTACCTCACACCTCATCAGCCTCTCACCGCCGGCAACACCCTGGTCTCCGACGGTGGGATCTTCGAGCTCGGCTTCTTCAAGCCAGGCAGCTCAAACAGAAGCTATGTGGGTATATGGTACTGCAACTCTGGAGGCAACAGAATTGTCTGGGTTGCTAACCGAGACTCACCAATCTCTGACTCCTCAGGCACGCTCGGCATCGCCGCAGATGGCAATCTCGTCATGCTCGACGGAAATAAGAACATTCTGTGGTCATCCAACATCTCCTCAACTTCAAATAGTAACATAACAGCCAAGCTGCTTGACACCGGCAACTTAAAGCTTAACAACCCCAGTGGGAGGCTATGGCAGAGCTTTGACCACCCAACTGACACATATCTCCCTGGCATGAGAGTTGGGCTTGATCTCCGAACCAACAAGAATCAGGTGCTCACCGCCTGGAGGAGCCGCGACGACCCGGCTCCAGGCAGATTTTCCTTGGGCCATGACCCAACCAGGTCGACACAGCTCTTCGTATGGGAGGACGGCTTACCGCGGTGGCGCTCCGGTATGTGGAATGGCCAGGTGTTTATTGGGGTTGAAAGCATGATCTACGCCTACTCCTATGGCTTCAAATTAAGCAACATTGATGAGGAGCAGAAGATGTATTACTACATCAATTCCAACAGCTTTCAATACTGGGTTCTAACTCCAGAAGGCATTCACAGGCACTTCAGACGGAATGGGGACGGCTTCTCCTGGAGCCAATTTTGGGCAGCACCAGTTGCTGTGTGTGACGAGTACAATAAATGTGGAAATAATGGCGGTTGCAACAATGGGAAGACACCTATCTGCGACTGCTTGACTGGATTTGTACCAAGATCAAGTGGTCAATGGAAGAGTGGCAACTGGATTGTGGGGTGTGTAAGGAGGACGAAGCTGGCATGCCATAGGAATGAAAGTACTGGGGGCAAGGAAAACAAGCCTGATCAATTTTATTTGATGCAAGGAATGAAGCTGCCAGATTTGGCAATCATTATTCACATTGCTTTGGATTTGACCACTTGCCAAGCAGAATGTATGAGGAATTGCTCTTGCATTGCTTTTAGTTTTGTGACAGGGATTGGGTGTCTGACATGGGGAGAAGAAATGATGGACATTCAGATCTTTTCCAAAGGCGGAAACGACTTATATATCCGTCTCGCAGGTTCAGAATTTCGCCATGGTATATTCTCTCTACCCAGCTTCCTAGCTCTGCATGTTGAAAATGCTGAATTCACCTGCATGTACTAATGAAATTTTGTTAAGCTTCCGTAGTGTAGCTGAGATACTTGCAAAGTCTTTCAAGGATTTAGATTTGATAGTTTGAGGAAGTCTCACAAGAAAAAAATGTGAAACAGAAACATAATTTAACATTATAAACCAATGGCTATAACCAGATGAGTACCAATCTTGTTTGCATTCTTTTGCAGAAATTGGAAAAATTATCATGATCGTAACATTAGTTGCAGTTTTCAGTTTTGGTTCTCTTGGATGCGTCTTCTTATTGTGGAAGTACAAAAAAAGAATAAAAGGTTCATTACGCAATGACATTGTTCTCCACAAAGTTTGTATTAATCAGAATATATATGTACTGATATCACCTCTTCAAATCTGTCCAGAACACTTTAAGCAGAGGAGCCAGCAAGAAGAAATGACAGCGTTTTTTGGTTCAACAGAGGTTCAAGAGGAAGCGAAAGATGCAAAGCAATATGAATTACGTTCTTTTAGTTTGCGTGATATGGTTGCAGCAACAGACAACTTTTCTTATGAAAATCTGCTCGGTGAAGGAGGCTTTGGTCCTGTTTACAAGGTCTATTTCCACCCGATACTTCTTTATAAAATTTAGGCATTAGCTGGCGAATCAGTAAATAAACAAGGCAGTATTTTCACCCAGTAGTAGCTAGAAATATATTAGCTGGTGTCTACCAAGAAACTTTTGTCAAAAAAATTTTGCATGTAGTGCACCACTTTATGACATCTCTTCTGATCATCAAGACATGGTTCACAAACATTATTTTAGTACAAGAAAATAATAATTCGGCAGTTTCGTACACCGATGTCCTCAAGTGGAGCGATTATTCTGTGAGGACATCGAACGGGAAGAACAGTTCAGTTTTGTCTCTCTGAATAGTAAAAGTGCAGCATGAACAGTTAACGCACAACTTCACTGCGCTTTTACTGTTCACAGAGGCAAACCGGATGATGCTCCCCGTCCGGTATCCGCACAAAATAATTCATCCCTCATGCGACCTTTGTGCCTGGCCTTTCTATCTCTTAACCACGTCTTTAAAGAGCTAATATTTCTTAATAAAGCAACCAAATGTTTTCATAATAAAGATGGAAACTATTTTTACAAGACCATTTCCATGTTCTTAATTTCAACCCTCTCCCAGGAAGGAAAAAGTAAAAAAAAAAAAGGATTTCCTGACATCAGTGCATTATTCTAATGTTTTTATTCATCTCCGGATAGTTATCTTTTTGAAAATCTACTTGCAACAATGATCTACTAAACTGCTCTTCCTTTTAAGTTTTAAAAAATACCTTTCATTTACTTTTCTGATATTTCCAGCATCTAAATTTGAACTATTTTGACAGAGGCAAACATAGCCATCTGCAATATTTGACAAATTCTTTAAAGTTAGACTAATTTCAGATGATTCTTTTCTGTGTAATCAAATAATGACGAGGCTTAAAAATGATTCTTTATAGGGGATGTTGCCCGGGGGCCAACAGATAGCTGTTAAAAGACTTTCTAAGGATTCCACTCAAGGCATGGAGGAATTCAAGAATGAGGTCAAACTAATTTCAAAATTACAGCACTCGAACCTGGTGAGATTACAAGGTTTCTGCATCCAAGGAGAAGATATGATGCTAATTTACGAGTACATGGTTAACGGAAGCTTGGAAGCTTTTCTTTCTGGTAAACTGCACAATCAAATCCCATTTGTAGACCGCAATTTTTTCCCATAAGAAGTTTGGAAAATAATTAACAGTTGAAAAAATACTCTACAACTTTGTCATATATACCGTTTCATCTGAAAATAAAACGAGATTAAAAAAAAAAACCTTTTCCAAACAGTTGAAACAAAATCAAATGTTTACTTATCTTTTCCAAATGGAACTATCATTTGGGGCAGAAGTAGAAAATGAAATAAGCCTAAGCACCGTTTGACAGGTTCAAGTAGAAGAGAACAGCTGGAATGGCAGACGAGATATAATATCATTGAAGCAATTGCTCGAGGACTCCTCTACCTTCATCGAGACTCGCGTCTAGGAGTCATTCATCGCGACTTGAAAGCAAGCAACATTTTATTGGACGAGGAGATGAACCCAAAAATTTCAGACTTTGGCATCGCAAGAATATTTGGAAAGGATAGCAATGAAGCAAAAACAAAACGAGTAATTGGAACATAGTAAGATTTTTTTTTTTAAGGTTTTTTTACTAATAATAAACAAGCTCACAATTGATGATGACTTTTCAATGGTAAATTTCAGTGGCTACATGTCACCAGAGTATGCCATGCAAGGACTATTCTCCATAAAATCTGATGTTTATAGCTTTGGAGTATTACTCCTAGAGATTATCAGTGGAAAGAGGAACAGCACATACCAACACCCTGAATCGTATCTACACCTCCTACCATATGTAAGTACACATAACATTGCCTTGGCAAAAGTATTAACTCGGTGCTTTTGAGTATTGCAATATTGATAGCAGATATCTTTGATTACTATAGGCTTGGAAGCTATGGAATGAGAATAATGAGATGGAGCTAGTAGATCCATTAATAAGAGACTCGTGCCAGATGAAAGAAGTATCCAGATGCATCAATGTGGGTCTCCTATGTGTTCAGGATCAAGCTACAGATCGGCCAACTATGTCTTCAGTAGTCAAGATGTTAGAGTTGAGAACCACTACACATCTCGTGCCAAGGGAACCAATATTTGCCTTGGGTAAAAGCCCAAACAAGAGAAAATCACCAAATCCCAGTCAAGAGGAAGCCAGTAATGATGTTTCAATCACTCTATTGACAGGTCGAACATAGTTTTTATTCTTTTTAAAGTAGATTAGACTTGATATGTACCGGTTTTGAAATGGATTCATCGAGGATGGAAACACTTGAAGAGAAAGAAAAGTAGGATAAGACATTTTAATCATATTCTGTTGTGTATAATACTAAACTTTGGCAGATTCTTCTATGATTAAAGAAGAATCGCAGGGGCTTTTGTCTATATTAACTGATTGGTATTTTTTGATTAGAAAGGAAATAAATATCAAATAAAATTTAATAAGACATATTCATAGGCGTGGTCTACCATGGGGGTGTTTATTTTTCTTAAAGTGATGATTGATATATGGTTTGCCATGATTTCAATTAAGTTCGGTAGAGTTCAGTCCAAAATTAAATGTTGAGTTACAAGAAATTTATGCAGTCGAAATTTCATGGGAGTTGGCATACCATTTGAATTTAAAAGCAAAAATTTCAGAGGATTTCATCTGTTGGACTTCCTCCACAGTTCACCATGTGCTACACCCGCAGTTCACCTTCATTTCAGATGTTTATGGTTGGATTTCAGGCAATAAATCTTAGTTGTTGATTTTTGTTCCTACATGCATCATATTTTGATTCTATTGCATTCCTTGCAGTACATTTATGAGTTATTTGCTGACTCTGGAAAATCAAATGTCAATCATGATAATTTTTTTTTAGTTATGGCATATTTTTATTCAAATATTTGGGATAATAGTGATGAAAATTAAATTTTAATTTATATCTACATATACATATTTTGCATACAACTAAATTCTTACCCGCTACATATTAGTCCTATATGAAATTTATTGTGTCGATTAATCGGGTTGTATTGTTGACTCAGATCTCAATTTCATTAGTTGAGTTGTAAATTGAGTGCCAAGACGTTGTAGGTGCAACATCTTTGAGATAGAGAGCACAGCGTCGTAGCGCTATGAAGTCAGAGTTGTTTTACTATAGTTCACTGTGCTACGACACTGCGAGATAGAGAAGTCGAGGCCGAGGCATTTTAGGTACATCTTCGCAGTGCTATGTGTCGGGTTGAGTAGTTCTTTCTTTCTGGTTCTTCTTATTTCAAATGAAGGGCTGCATCTCTTGATGAATTTAAGTGCCTCTCTTTGACCGTGTTATGTGTAGAATGGTTTGAGAAGTGAAGAGAGACAATGAGATAATATGAGAAGAGAGATATTGTGCAATTTTTCTCATTTTCATAGTGGATTTCTTAGTATGGTGTGGCTCCATGATTTTTTCTTGATTCCGGGTATTCCACTTTTAATCCTGACGTTCATTTTCGATGTTTTCTTTTCCTTATTTGTTTCGTCGCGTTGTTTTACTTCTCAACACTACAACCTCAAAGATTTACTACATTATTAACAAGGTCATATCAACTGTGTTTTGTACATTAATCTTATTTTTTATGCTAAGGATTTGTTATCTTATAGAGGCCTTTAAAGTCCCAAGTCTCACAAATGTACCTCTATAGTGTGGTTCTCCAAGTATGTTTGGTAAGTGTTTTCAATATAACTCTCCAAAGGAGAATGATTCATATCTGAGGAGCATTCATGGTAGTCATTCGATCCAGATGTATGGGCATCATCGATCACACAATTAATTATCATTTTTATTAGTTAATGCAACAAGGAAATATTTATTTTAATATTATTTTAATGAATTTTCTTTAAATCGCTTAGGAATTAGTTCTCATTAATGTCAATTTTTTTAATTTTCAAAAGGGGCTATTGGCTTATAAATGAGGAACTTAGAGCTTATTGTTGTGGAAGGAAGAAATATATTTGATTTTTTTTTTAAAGATGGCTACATATCCCTCCCAATATTTTTCTCATAATAAACTTTCTTCCATCTTATTTATCTCATTTTTTCTCTCTCTAATTCTTTCATTGATTTTCATTACCCTCAGTCTTGCCACTTGTGGGCTCCGAAAAATTCATGCCCCAGCCTCTCTGCTCCTGCTCTTTTTGTTGTTGGGGAAAGTTTTAACAGATTTAAGTTTCGGATAAATTTTCATAAGGCAATGTTGACCTCATTTTTATATGAGATCATCATCCTAAACTACCCAAACTTTTAACTTTCAATCCTATGGTTGACAATTATCCAGACGTCAATCATACAATCAACACCCCGATCAATCATACAATTATTTCTAGTCAATCATCAATCTGTAATCATCTAAATACCAATTAGTGATTTTGCAATCAATTGATTAGCAATCATTATGGATGTTCAATTGCCTTGACCATATCCAATCTACATGCATTCAATCATCTTTAATAATACAACCAATATTCAATCAAGCTTCAATCACCCATGGATATTCAACTACATAGATGATTCATCACTTCTACAACCTACATTCACTAAACTACAATCACCTACAACCAAGTACCCCAGTGCACTGCCTTACATTGCGTATTGACTCCTTGATCTCAGTCATTATCCAAACCACTTCACTAGGAGCTTCATAAAGTAAATCATTTATCAATAGACTCTCCAGTCATCAACTGACCCATATGATCTAATTGAGCTAGCTCAAGTTAGCTCAATTGATCATGCACTTCAATTACTTCCAACTAAACCCCAAATCACATCTGATTTTCACTAAACTATTTTGAACACTATTCTTAGTTAAATGGACATGAAACTGATCATCCTGACCCAGTCAATAGTTAACTTGGTCAACTGGACCCATAATTGATCAAATAAAGTAAAATAAGGTCAATTCCTTGCATACACCCAAGTCAACCTGCCCAAACCCCCAAGATTATTCCATCCCATAGCTTAAACACTTCCCAATTATTGGCGAGTCAGATCCTATTGAGTTTGACAAAGTCAACTCATTGAAATTTGGTCAAACCTCACTATATAGTCATTTGCTCATACACTAGACCCATCCCTTCAAGCCCCTTGGAGTTAACTCAACCAGCACCCATACACCCTCTCAAGTTCACCTCACCAACTATTGACGTGTTGACTAGTCAAATAGTCAATCTAAGGGTTAAAAATTCTCAGGTGGTCAACCTAGCCTAAGAAAGCTATATCCTTCCACTTCAGCTCATCCAACCCGACCCAAACTACTCCAGAAGCTTCAAATTGACCTAGCCCGAACACCTATGTTGCATCGATACACCTATTTATGAAGGCGTGTTGTATCCGATACACTGATACACGGATACGCCTACGATACTCCACTGATACGTGTCGGATACGCCAAAGTCATATCCAATTAAAATACTATTTAATTTCAAAAGGACACGCGTATCCGATACACGTGTCCGTTGAAAAACAAAAAACCATCCATAGCAGCCCTAACACCTGAATTAGGCCAAGGCATGTAAAACCCTCATACACATTTTTTTTTTGCATTTGCTCCAGCTGTTTCCCAGAGTTTTCTGCATTTCGTTTTGCTCTCCTACACTTCCCTGAGTATTTGCCAGGCATTTATTGCATAAATGGTAGGCTTAGAAACCCAGATTTGTTGTGGTGGAGCCAGACCACCTTACTTTTCTGTAGAGTCTGAGTATGTTGTAAATCTCTAAATCAATAAATGAATAAAAAACTTCTTTTATTTATACAGTTCTCTTCTTCACTTCATTTCATATACTACGTGCATGTTGGTGGTAGCTTGCATTAGGGGGTAGCAGGTTTTTTTTAGATTTTCCTCGGTGTGCATGTTATGGACTTTGTAGGAACATGTATACTAGTTTTAGGACGATATAGCTTTGGGTATTATAGACAACAACCCCTTTACCTATTCATACATGCATATATGCTTATTTTACTTCTGTTACGTACATAGAGCCTAGGTGTATGCCTCCCGTTGGCAAGATAACGGGGTCCCCATTATGCACGGGGGATGCTACATTTTCCGTGTTGGCATATGGTCGTTATGCTGCCAAAATTTCTAAGAAATTTTGATAGTTGGAAAATTTAGCTAGGTAATCTACATAAGATAAAATTTAGAGTCTTTAACGAGTCGTCTCGTTAGCATCACTTAAACGTAAAGTCAAATTACTTTCGACTCATTGATTTAGAGTCTAATTTATTCCTTTGATTTCTTAGGATAGAGCTAACCTTATTATGCATTACATCAATGATAATTGCGTGTATTAGGTTGTTAACTAGCAGCTCATTCAAAGCAGGCATAAGCCCAGGGGTATTATCACACCTCAACTCTATGATAAGAATAACATTATGTATTTAAATATATTTTCTACAAAAACTTTAAAATATTTTTGAAGTAATGATTGACATTTTCAAATATATAAGACAACTTTCTTATATTTTAATATCAAAATGAGTCTAATCTCCAATTTAATCGAAAGTTTTCTCTTTGGAGATGTAATTGACTATAGGTGCTTGCCGTTATAGAAATCCAATATCCTAGTAGAAAATAAACCTTGTCTTAGGTTACTAAGAGAGTAAAAAAATCTCTGGACATCGACTAAAGCCTATCATGGGTTAGATTTCGTATTTAAAACGATAGGTAAATATGACTTTTCTGTTTCGGGATAATTTTTACATTCTCTATGCCGACTTTGAATACGAAAATAAATGATTCTTTCCTCAAGTCGATAATGTAGTGTTAGTTTATTCTTCAGGATAATTAACACTAATTATATGAATTTGTCTAAAAAAATATTAAATATCAAATCAATGGTACAATCATTTATTTTGTCAACATGTAGATTGGACTTTAGATGAGACACTACCCAGAGATTTCGGTGTGATTTGAGTTCTGGTTTTCCATAGCTGCAAGCTCCTATGATTAATTACTCCTCTCGATAATGAGAGAGAATTTTCAATTACTCCTCTCCTTTTATTTCCACCTTTCCCCATATCTCTTAGTTGCTTCTCTCCTAATTCTCTGATAGGAAATACTTGTGTTCGCAAGTAACCCTAAGGTAATACTTGAGTTCGCAAGCAATTCTAACCCAAATCGATATGCAACAGCAGTGAAATGGCTGTTTGTAGCAGGAAAAACAGCAAAAACCTGCTGTCTACAGCAGGAAATCAGCACAAACCAGGGAAAATCGTGAGAAGAATCAATGCAGGACTTGTATTCCACTAGAAGATGCAACAAAATAGAAAAGATACAATTGATCCTCA